TCCGATCTACTTCCAAAGTTTGCGGCATCAAGAGGAGCACCTTTAATGGTACGAGAACTTTCACTATCTCCTTCACCAAAATCAAGTTGTCTGCTTCAACGAACAACTTGAAATAAAGGATAGATGAGTCAACTGAAAGTTTCACCCTCTATTTATACCATGAAATTCAGAACTGCAAGATCATATTAACCTATTATATTATGTAGATTACTCTTCTAATTATGTATGCTAAATTTTCATCATGTTAAGAAGATCCATCATTAGTGGGGTAAAACCAGATTCTATTTCGTAAAGTTTTTTCGTTTGTTAATCTTCATATGTGTTCCACTTAGAGTATGCTAAAGTAAATTCTTCTTTGTTAAGTTTAAAATGTTTAATATATTTTTCAAAGTTAAGATGCATATATAAATAATGATAGTTACCCTAGTAGAAGAAAAAATAATTTTTATATTTGTAGAGGCCAGTGATGGCACAGAAAGTGAACAAAAAATTAATATCGTCATTCATTAACGTTACAGACTAGAGTTTGCAAGACTCTATTAAGTATTTTTAATATTATTCTTTAGGATGATATGGAAAATACATGGTAATTAACTATGATTAAAGACTAATACTTTTAGTTAAATAATGTGACATGTGTTATTTATTTATTGGATGGGTGTAAACACCTGATGCGGGTAAGTTTTTATCATTATTAGAACCTCTTTATATAGTAGAGGAGTTCTACTTTAGGTACAATTCTATAAAAGGTAAAAAATCTCTTGATTTACTGATTGTCGGTTCCTTATTGATACGTGCCGAGATTCCCGCCGTAATATCCGACCGGTCACGGATATTCCGGTCTTCTGTAGGCTATGTTAATAATATTTCTTCGAACTCGTTCGGAGCTAGGATCGATTCCGGGATCACGGCCTCGATATTCTCGAAGGCAGACGTTCTGACCCCGGGTGCTAGCCCGGTAGGGCTTGGGGTCGATTTTCAGTCCTTTATTGCCATATTTCGAGCCTGACCTATCATGTCGTAGGCGAGCTCGATTTTGATTGTATACGGTATCAGTTCCATGGGGGAAGTCCAGCAAAGAACAAGACCCTTTTTTTTTTCAGATGAGAAAGTGCTTGCTAATGTAAATCTTCCAAATTACTGATTGAACGAATGAGACGTGAGCATGTGAATAACTCGTAAAATAGTAGTACTAGTAATTAACTTGATAAATTTACGGACTAAAAGATGCTAATTCAATGCTGATAGATTGCGTGCGTCACTTATTTATTTATTTTTTAAATAAAATTCTTTGCTGCTATTATCAAATCACATAACTTACACCAGTAAATATGGGAAGGGCCAAATCTAGACTCTATAGTAGTAAAAGTGAGGTCCCCATTGGCTGATTTGCATGAAAATGAGTAAAAGAAAGTAAAGGAAGTGTTCCCGCGGAGACAAATCAATTACTTCTATAAAGTAAAGAAAGGATATCTCACTTTACTACTATAAACTTGGTGACCCACTCCCCCCCTTCGAGACCGTCGGCCAGTCCTTCAATTCTTAATACGTACTCACATCCGATAATTACATCAGATCAAACAAATTAGCCAGCCACAAGTTNCCCACCTCCTCTAACATTCCCTCCCTTTTTGGCTTTTGGACATTAACTAACTTTAACTTTTCCACATTATATATTCATCTAAAGCAAATGGAAATCTTTCATGAAAGATCATTAGAGCAACATAGAATTGCCTATATTAGTCTGCTATCATGGCCATGAACTACCCTGTCTTCTTACTCATGAAATAATCTACAGCTAACTCTGTTGGCAATTAAAAACATAGAGTTATGGTTGGTGATGGTGCTATACGCAGGGTTAATGGTATGAAGGCTTTCTTGGGAGTTCTTCTTTTACTTAGTTTACTGTGGCTTGTATTCAATGGGAGTTTAGCCAAGCAGGCAACATCTACCACTAAGACAATCAATCATTTTGATGTTTGGAAGACAATACAAACTGAAAGTCATTATCTTCAAAAGAATTCAAATCTCAATTATGTCAGCGAAAGAAGAGCGTCTACTGGACCCAATGCCATTCTGAACAGGTATCTACTCTTTCTCAGTATATATATATAATCACTTGTATGCATTAGTATCACTTGTATGCAAAAACTTTCCAAATGTATTTTAAGTTGTAGCATATTACCTCCCTTAAATATGTTAGCATATTACGTGGTATTTTTTATCCTAGCAGCCGTGTGACCAAGAGGTCATGGATTCAAGCCATGAAAATAAACTTTTCAAAAAATATAAGGTAAGGGTTCGTACAATAGATCCAAGGTGGTCCGACATGCTCATTGGGGAGTTTAGTGCAACACTGCAACGAGCTGCCATTTTTACTTGTCAAATTAATCTTTCATGTGACCTAATAGTAAACTCTATCAATATATAGAAGTTAAAACTTTTTTATGTGTATGTTTTTTCAGGAAAGCAGGGAAGGCAGCCAGGGCTGCAACCAAAATAGTTGATGATAGGGCAAACAAACCTTTAGATGTTTGGAAGATAATAGAAGCTGAGAGGCAATATCTTCAAAGGAATCCAAATGTCAATTATGTGAGCAAAAGAAGAGTGCCTACTGGACCAAATGCCATACACAACAGGTACATTACTGTTGATCCATATATGCATTAGTACGTTACCAATGAGAAAAACTTAACGTTGTAGTTTATGATGTTTATGTTTCTTGGTTTTCAGGAAAATAGGGAAGTATAGGGAGCCACCAACTCGAGCTTGAGCTTAAAAAACAATTGAAAGTACTCTAGTAAAGAGCAACAAGATCCTTCAACCATCTTTACAACATACAAGCAGTGATAACAAGTAGGTGTTTCCTTAGAATGTACTAGTAGCTATATATCTGTTGGTAGACAGAGGCGAGTGTAGCCTTACTGATTTAGTAATTTCGATATTGAATATAAATATATGTGAAAAGTTAGTAAAGTTTCAACAAATAGTAACACGCGGAAAATTAGTAAATTTTGAACTCATAACTTTAGAAGTGCAATGAATTAAATTTTAAGAACTTAAAGGTTGAATCTATAAAATCTAAATTCTGGAACTGTCTATGGTTAGGAGTTAGGACACTGGAGATGTTGTTTGTAGAAAAGTAAATTGCTATCACCTGAATGAAATTCTAAGTAAGGAGAATTAAATTAACGAGGGAAAGTAGATTGGAAAGTAAAACTTTTCAAGACTGAGGAAATATGAAAGCAGGATATGATTTGATTGTGGAGTATATGCTACCCACTTTTTTGTTCCTTTTTAGTATTTTAGGAGGGTGTCATTTATAATTGGGACACTGCAAAAGATAGACAGAAATATTGGATAAATGCATGAAAAATGGGGAGTTTCCAAGATATTAATTAGTTTTGGGGAGTCTTTCTTGAATGATTATGTTGGCATTTTTGACTATTCAAAGGAACAAGTTTTTTACTTTCTGGCTCGAGTGGAATTATTTTTTTCTTTAAGTAGCAAATTTCACAAGGTAAAGCTAAGCTCCTAAACGAGACTTATTAAAGTTTACTTTTGTCCAATATTTTTAGCCTTGACTGATGTCCAGTAAACAGCAATTATAAGATTTAATCCTCACTTAGACTAATGTTTCAATTTTCGGTGGCATTCTAGTTTCTAGTCCAAAAAGTTGGTCAGAGTGTTCAAAAGGTAGAATTCTGGTCTTTGAAAGAGAATAAAGATTAATCATAAAAAAGAAGATTAGCATATGCACATGCATGATCCTAACCTCCACTCAATCCCTTCCCCGGGTTATTTTATCTATTACATCCACGGACAATCTAGTGGTCAAAAGTCTACAATTCACATTGCAATTTCACGAGTTTAAATCTCAATGACCAATCTACGTAAGCTTTTGCACTCACTTGTTAGTTGTTAGCTAAGTGAAAAAAATATTGATGGAATAAGTTTATATCTTTAACAAGGTGCCATTTGGTGAAAAAAAATCAATAAAATCTAAGGCTGAAATGGACTAAGAGACATGTAATTTGTGTTTGTAAAAAAGTCGTTACACCGTCCATACCTCTAACGAAAGAAAGCTGCTTTCCCGTCTCTTTTTCCTCCTCTTTCTGGGCTACGTTCTAAATGTGGGGAGAGTGGAATTTGGCCTAAACTGACTTTAGTTTTACCCTCCAGCGCCCTAAGGAAATGAGAGGCCTTAAGCTGAATAGCTAATTAGCAACAGTATTTGATAATGAGGCCTCCTTTAACCTTAGCCGGTATAGATAAAATGCAGCATCGGGCTGAATGAGCAACTATTTAACTTTAGTACCCTATCTCACTCCAGCTCACCAAAAATCATCGCCAAAGACATGGAATTTGAAAATTAACTGAAATCACTAGTTGATGTAATACAATTCTCTTTATCATTAATCTAACAACAATGTGACATTCATATATGCTTTCAAGTTAACAGATTTTGGATAGTTAAAGATGAAGCAATGACTCCAAAGAGCATCAATAGAAAATTCAAAACTCAATATGAAACGTATTAATCTTCGCTTGTGAAGATGAAAGAACGGGAGGGTTGAAGTATTTGAACAAACACGTGATAACAAAGTGACCATGAAAATCAACCATGTAAACAGAATGAAACGTGATCTTCCATAATAAACATATTAGACATTACATCCCAAACAAGGATCTTGAATATGTCTAGACAACTTATTTTTCAGAAAAGCTATATATATATATATGCACACATAAATCCACACACACATATAAGTATATGTCAAACTCCGGTTCAATTTTTTCCCAAATCAAACCAAATAGATGCCGGATTTTTTAGTTGGTTTGATTCGATATTTTGGTTTGGCGTGTCTTTCAGTTTTTGCTATACACAACTAGTTGCAAGCAACACATGAATAACAAAGGCCATTGATTCAACATTAAGAAGCAAACACCCCACCCAATTGCTTCCGAACAAGAGCTAAACTAGCAGTAATATAGGCTAGTTTCAAGAAATGAGACGTTTAGTCGAGGATCCTCCGAGTACATAACATCCAATGCTATATGCAACAGTAATCACATATATGAAGAACAATTAACAGTCGCTTCCTATACTACATATTTCAAACAAGCAAAATACTTAAGAATAATTTGTCCATTTTGCAAATATAATACAGCAATATTCAAAGGGTGTACAGTCTTGAACCAATCAAAATGGTGTCGTGCCACTTACACCAGTAGGAACTGAAGACTTACAGCAGGATGCATCATATTCACTTGGTTTGTAACATTTTGAAATGCTTTGAAAATTCCGGTTTCAAATAGGACTGCTCGTAGTAGCTTCTTTGCCAAATAGTAACGGAAATTCATCATATTGCTCGGAGAAACCCTGTCTTTCAGCCATGCTCTTAAGTGCTTCATAAACCTGATACATAGACCATCTGTCCTTGGGCCGAAAAACCACAGAATTACAAGCAATTCTTAGGAATTGTACAATCTCTTCATCATGCCCCTTCCCACATATGTTCTGGTCGATTGCATCTTTAATGCGACCTGAAACAGAGAGCTGATTTACCCAGTCCACCAAGTTACCCTTGAAGCCCTCTTCACCAGCAGTAACTTCAAGAGGTTTTTGTCCAGTAGCCAACTCCAAAAGCACTACCCCGAAGCTGTAAGCATCCCCTTTCAGTGAAGGCACCATTGTGCTAGAGTACTCCGGAGCTACATAACCAAATTCACCCAACTCCCCATTCACAAAACTAGACTCTTTTGCATCTGAAGGCGTCATCAGCCTTGCCAGCCCAAAATCCATTAATCTAGCATCCAAGTCTTCATCGAGGAAAAAAACATTAGAACATATGTTTTGGTGCAAGATAGGTGGGTGGCAACCATGATGTAACCAAGCAAGGCCCCTAGCAGCACCCAGACCAATTCTAAACCGAGTAGGCCAATCTAATTCACTTGCATTCCGATTCAAGAATGAATACAAAGTACCATTTGACAGGTGCTTGTAAACCAAAAGCTTCTCCTCTTCAACAACACAGTATCCCAGAAGTGGCACCAAATTAGGATGCCTAAGTTGGCCTAACCTATTCATCTCAACCCGAAACTGCTTCTCGCTCAGTTTGCAAGCATTAAGCCGCTTAATGGCAAGCGCAGAACCATCGCGTAACACAGCGTTATAAGTAGTCCCCGTTCTAGTCGAGTTGATAACATTGTCCATGCTGAAACTATTCGTGGCGACCAACAAATCAACTAATCTAACCTTAACAAGCGGTTTCTGAAACAACATAACCTGAGTGAGCTTGTGTGCCCTCAGCTTCTCAGCCCAACTATCTGAGTCATCGCCTCTACCGATCCCATACCCTCTCTTCCTCTTCCCGGCCTTAGTGAAATACCAATACCAGGCACCAAAACCCAACAACATAGAAGCAGCAGCACCAAAGACACCTGCCGCAATAATAATAGCTAAGTTTTTCTTACTGAGTCCTCCACATTTCCCCAAAGGTCCACCACAGAGTCCACTATTTCCTTCAAAGTTAGCCGAATCGGCCGAGTCGAAAGCTGCCGGAATTATACCGGAAAGTCGATTGTTTGCCACAGATAAAGTTTTGAGCCTACTGAAACTAGAAAATTCAGGGGGAATATTTCCAGAAAGTTTGTTATCATTGAGCATTAATTTATTCAAATAAGCGCATTTAACTAGATCAGCAGGGATAGAGCCAGAGAAATCGTTACTGGACAAATCTAGGGTTGTTAAAAAAGGGAGCCAAGTACAAATTTTCGAAGGAATTGGACCGGAAAAGCGGTTACCGGAAAGATCAAGGGTTGTTAAGCTGGCACAATACTCTAACGATTCTGTTACCTTCCCGCCGAGGTTCATGGTCTGAAGAGCGAGGCCGTTGATTCGATTTTCGCGTTCGTTCCAGCAATTGACACCTGTAAACTTGCAGATAGCGCTGACAGTGGAATTGGTAAAGTCCCATGAGATCAGATTCCCGCTTGGATCTTCTAAGGATTTTTTGAATCCTTCTAAACATTTGAGATCATCTTCAACTACAGCAGCATCGTAAAACTGAGGAAGTACAACAAAAAGCAGAATTAACTGAAATCTGAAACGAGTCATCGTGTAATTGAGCAGAGCCTCCTAGGGTTTTTTAGGGATTTAACAGCTCTGTGTAATTGGTACGAGGTGTTTGATAATATGTACAAGAGAAATGGGCAGGAAATAGCAAAGCTAAGGAAGACGAAGACGGCTGAGGCATTGACTTGCCAATATGAAAACCCAGTCTGTAATTACAGATTCTTTTTTTCTCTGTATTTTACTAGTATAGTATGACTATTACATTAGTGGAGCCTTTGGAGGGGGTGATACATTAGTTAATGCGTAAAAGATAAATGGAAATTGTTAATGAATAAAGGCCAAATTTGACTATTAAAATGGTTAGTTTGCTTAAAGGAAGAATATACAACTCTTTAAAGTATTGTTGATGTTTGAATAAGAAAAGTTTAGTCCCCTAAAAGGGCCTTAGATAGTTAAAGCGTAGATTCAAATATTCTTGTCATATAAGGTTTATGGCTGCGCCTAGAATACCCAATTAATGTAAACCTTTTATTCTAAAGAAGAATTGGTTTATTCCACAAAATCACTTTTGAATGATTTTGGTTGACTAATACAGATGCACATGGCGTAAAAAGGAAAAAAATACTCCATACCAAAAAAAATTATTTTTAGAATTCGAACCTAATGAAGTATCTAGTTTATGATTTTTGATTAAGAGTAGAGGAATCTTATCTATCCACCACATTCTTTTATGATATATTCGAAGTATACTTATATTCACTTATGAGTTATTTGGTTTGTGTATAAGTTTTAATAATCATTGAATTCATTGTTCAATTATCTATATATATATATATATATATAATTGAGGGTCTAACCAAGGTGACTTGGCAACTCTAATAAATCAGGAAATGTATTTATCTATTATCTCATTTTTTTTAGATTTATCCCTCTTATTTCAACATAATAATCAATTATGAAATAACAATGGCACCGTTTCAGTTACTTATACTTCCGTTAAGACCTATGAAAGAGGAATAAAGCACCCGATTCACAATCGACAAGCGAAAACTTAGGCTTTTCCATTTCAAGAGTGTGCGCGAAGCCACATCTCTTTGGCGCCACATCTCTTTGGCGCCATTACGATTTCATTCAAGGAAATCTCATAGGCATTCAGATGAATCTTCACAAGTTTGTCATTACCGGTAAACCTTGAACTTTGGTACCTTGAATCTTCACAAGTTTATGATAACTTTCTATAAATTCTCTATTCTCATGTGTTTGAGTTGGATAGGACTGACCGTAATTTCCTTCACAAACACTGGTTGTAACCTATTATTTTTATATGTAATCACCCCTCCCCTAAAAATAAAAATTGTCCTCTATCGTCGACATGATCATATTAGAGGCATTTCTGAAAACAGGAAGAGTGATGACTGGATCAACTCTAGAATTCAGGAAAAAAGTGTCAATTCATCCATGGTGGTATTATCAGGTCTTTCTAAGGCATTTGCCTTAATCAGTGAGAACAAGTTCTTCTATAAACAATGCCGAGAAAACGTGAGCATAACATCTTTCTTCTTTATCGTATTGGCAGGTTAGAGTTATTTGAGCAGTTTATTGCATGAGTTGTTGATAAGAGTTAAGACATTATATTGTGGCTGGCTGATGGTCTTAACGAGGAAAGATAAGATTATACCACTTTTGTTACCTGCATTGTAGCACTATAGATTTTGAATTTTGGATATTCTTATAGTTGTAAAATGGTACGAGTACAAAGGAGGGGAAAGTGAACGAATACCAAGAAAACAAACTAAGAGACCCAAAGGCAAAATATTCAGACAAAGAAGGAAAAGTTGAATTAGTATTTCAGAAAACATAAAGAAGAAGCATATCGCAGCATTACTAACACTTCACTTTTGTTAACATCATTCGCTTGGTTTGTTTTACTTTACGTTGGCTTCAGAAAATTTCATTTTTATGATCCAAATTTTTATTTTTACGCAAGGTGTTTCTTCCTTTCTTTTATTAAGCAGTCCGCAGAGGCGGATCCAAGATTTGATGGCTATGGGTATCACTCATGGGCGGATGCACATTTATCGAAGCGGTGTCATGCGACACCGTCGTAATTATTTGCTAAATATATGTATTAATACTGTGAGGAAGCGCATAAGTAGGAAAAAATGATACCAATATTGACGCATTGATTATGTGCTTGATTTTGCTCTAAGAGGTCAGAGGTTCAAACATCAACTAGCACATCATTTTTGCAAATATTTGAGAGAATGTATGTGGTTAAAAATTGTGATGAAATATAATTTAATTCATAACTTTTTCTAACTTTAGACTCAACAAAACCAATAGACTAAAGCTATTTCTCGTCTCTAAGTATGATAACTAAAGTTATTAATTAACGTTCTTCTGTAAATTTCAACACCGCTTACAAAAATTTCTGCGTACGCCCCTGGTGCCACTGGTTTTAATGCAAACCAACCATAATGAAGAGATTAAACTTGGGTGTATATTTAGTCGGTTCGATCCATTTTTTATTAATTCGGTTCGGTTCGGTCCATTTTGAATTAATTCAATTCAATTTAAAAGATCGTTATATGCATAAATGAATATATCACAAAATTGAATAAGTTCTTTCTAATTCGGTCAAATTCTCTGGATTCAAATTTGATTAATATGATTAAAAAATATAAAGTAAAAATAAAATTTTAAATTAGAAAATACACCACTTCAATCTACATATAGCTCGATTAATATTATGTCTTTGATGCATCATTTTAATTTCTAAAATTAATAAAATAACATTAGATGGATAAAAAGAGAAAATGATTAAAATCACATTCAAATAAATTTTAAGATCTAGAAAATGAAAAAGGAAGATATACAATTTAAATAAATAATAAAAAGGAGATTGTACAAAATAGAGTGAATAACAAAGGTGAAAAAATTAAAACAATTTAAAAGAAGGAGCACACAGAAAAGAAAGGGAAGGGAAAACAGATGACAACAAAACAACTAGGACCACAATAGAAACAAAATAACTAGGACCACAATAGAGATCCTCGAGTTGCAATGCTTTAACCGTGGCACCTACTCCCATTTTGTGACTTTGGGATGTTACCCGTTATATATGTTCAATATTTTGAGGAAAATACCAGCATATATATACGATTTTTTACTCGAGTGATCGGGTGGCGTACCACCCCCAATCCCCTACATAGATCCGCCCTTGGCAGTCAGTCATTTCTTCATATCTTTTTAGATTTTATTACTTTGATTATTTACAAAGAAAAAGTTGCTTGGATTTGCTCAAGTATAAACTGGGTATCATCCTTATTTATCATTTTACCTTGGCA